TGAAAAAAAAATGGTTTGATATTTCTCTAGTAATAACTAAATATACTAAATATTAGATTATATACTAATTATTATAGCAATAATTGTAGTAAATTTAGTTATTTTATTATCATTATTATTTATATTAATACTATTATTATTATATTATTTTATTTATTTTACATTGAAATCTTACATTTGTAATAATTTTTTTTTTTTGGTAATAAAAATATTATTATTATTATTATTTTCTGAAGTGTTAGATGTTTATTTTACATTGAAATCTTACATTTGTAATTTTTTGTTTGATTTTTTGGTAATAATAGTTATTATTATTATTATTATTTTCTTACGTGTTAGATGTTTATTTTTTACAGTGCAATCTTAGCAGTAGCAATTATTTTGTTTGATGCTTTGGTAATATTATTATTATTATTATTTGTTATGGTAATAATAATTATTTTAGTAACAATTAGTAATACTAATAATAATAATAACATTTTCTTAAGTTATTTTACAGTGAAATATTACTATGATAATTATTGTGTTTGATTTTTTGGGGGGTTAAAATAATTATTGTAGTAGTAACAATCATTATTATTATGGTTGTATTTTGCAAACAGCATTGGTGTTTCTCAGCGTTACTGAATGCCGTGTTGTCCCGCTCAGGAGCCGCTGGGGTCGGGTTCGGAGCTGGTTCATCTGCAGGAGCGCTGTCTGCTGTTGGGTCTGGCGGGTCACTGGCTGTCCCTGCATGATCCTCCGCTCCCCGTCTGGCGTCTCGCCGCGCTGGAGGAGCGTCAGTGGCAGAGTCGCATCCGCTGGCTGCTGCTTCACACGGCTCTGGAGCGCCAGAGTCTGTTCGCGCCCTCGGCCCTCTCCCACGACTCCTTCCAGAGCCTCCTCCAGGAGTTCTCCTTCTCCAGGACGGCAGCTCTGGACGAGCCGGCTCATCTGAGTGTGGCCGGGCTCCCGGCGGCCGAGGACGACTGCCTGCTGTCTGCAGACGAGCGCAAGGCTCTGGCCGCTCTGGTGGCGCAGCTGCTGGACGAGGGCGGCGTGAGCGAGGCCAGTCGCGTCTGCAGGTATTTCCGTTTGTTTCACAGAGACGTGTGGCTGGTCCTGAAGTGTCGCGGTCTGGCGAGCGGAGAGCTGCAGCCTGAGCTTCACAGCCCTGATGGAGAAACCAGACGCAGTTTGCCATCATGTGAGCCATTTCATCTGCTTTCATGATCTTGTTGAAAAAGATTGGTAGCTAGTCAGTATTTCATTTTAAAACGGATAGTTCCGGTCCTTGATTCTGATTGGCTGAGCCGCGTTCGAAGCTGTTGTAAATTACTCTACAAACATACGCCTTTGTTTACGTTTGTGTGTTGCTCGTCAACCACTTTGTTTGTACCACAACTGTTTCTGAGGAACTACATTGTTTGGTAGAAGAATACTGTTTTTATTTATATCATTACACTTTATTTGCTCTGTTTTATTCTGTGAAACCTTACTACGTATATGGAATAACCGTTTTATAAAAGCAATAAGCCCCGTGAAGCTCCGTGCCTAACCAACGCCCCTTAGCTGTTATAAATTCACTGTAAACCACGGCTTCTTGGGGCTTATTGCTTTAATATTACATGCACTTTCACAACACAAGAGTTGGGGTCGGTAAGATTTTTGAAAGAGGTGTTTTATGGTCATCAGGGTTACATTTATTTGATCGAAACATACAACAAAATCAGTAATATTGTGAAATATTATTACAATTTAAAGTAGTTATTTTTGGTGTTAATATATTTTAAGATGTAATTTGTTCCTGTGATGCAAAGCTGAATTTTCTTCATTTTATTTAACGCTGAAACATATCCTTAAAAATATATGCACATTAATCAAATGCACACACACACATACTAGCTCAAATTTTTCATTAGTGTCCAATATTTCTATTTTTTTTTTTTTTTTTTTTTTTTTTTTTTTTTTATTTATTAAAAAGCATGTTGTTAGCTTAGCAACATGTTAATGGCCAGTTATTAATCACATTTTCTATTCAACACTGAAATGTGTCATTAAATACCTAGTTTAATCTAATTAAAAATGGACTATTTTGCCTGATATTTGTGAACCTGATATTTGTGTTTGTATGTATTTTTTATTTACAAATGGCTATTATTTTAATCACATTTTATTTAACAATCAACAGAAAATTGTTCCATATTTATTACAAAGAAAACATTTTACCCAATAATTCTGTTTATTTGATGTATTTTTAAGGGTATCGAGTCATTAGCTTAGCAATATGCTAATGGAATGAGTGATATTTTAATATATAGAAAATTGTTTTATAATATTACGAAGCAAACATTTCACCAAATAATTCTGTGTATTTGCTCTATTTTATGTTTATTGGCGTATTGAGTCAATAGCTTAGCAACATGCTAATGGCAAACTAATATTTTAATCACATTTTATTTAGTACTGAAAAAAACTGCAGAAAATTCTTACGTCTTATCACAAAAAATAATAATTCACAATTCACTTGTTAGCTTAGCAACATGCTAAATAAAAACTATTTTTTTATCACATTTTATATTCAGTCCTGAAAATAATCTTATTACAAATCAAACATTTCTCCCAGTAATTCTGTGTATTTGATGTATTTTTAAGCATATTGAGTCATTAGCTTAGCGACATGCTAACGGCAAACTATTGTTTTATTCAGTCACGAAAAGAATCTACAGAAAATTGTTCTGTATTATTACAAATCAAACATTTTTCCCAGTAATTCTGTGTATTTGATGTATTTTTAAGAATATTGAGTCATTAGCTTAACGACATGCTAACGGCAAACTATTGTTTTATTCAGCCAAGAAAAGATTCTAAAGAAAATTGTTTTATAATATTACAAAGCAAACATTTCACCCAATAATTCTGTGCATTTGCTCTATTTTGTGTTTATTGGCGCATCGAGTAAATAGCTTAGCAACATGCTAATGGCAAACTAATATTTTAATAACATTTGATTTAGTACTGCTGAAGGTGAGGTACTCACCTTCATATTTCTTCATTAAATAACACCTCGTTTGAGACGTAACTTCACAAACAGCGTGAGTGAATCACAGCGCGCTCTCTCTATTTCTCTCTCCAAATATATAAATGGCTTCAAATCACCACACATCGCGTCTGTCTATAAGCAAGCTGCACGCTGCACAGTTGACACCGGAATTGTCACTTGCACAGTCAAAGCAGTGTCACATCGTCACTAAAGTTTATAAATTGAATTACTTTTTAATTCTTGCCAGTGTTTAACCATTCAGCGCTCGCGCACTCTCCTGAAGACTGTGCGCTCATGGACACTCGCAGCGCACACACATAACGCCAGGTTCACATTACTCTGTTTGCAGTGCATACGTGGTGCGTATTTTTTCCGCGCTCATGTTAACAGATTAAAGCATTCACGGCACACGGTTGCAGTCCAGCAGTGCGTCTGCAGCAGTCCAGAGATCGTTTCCGCACCGAGTCTATTGCTGCGCTGCAAGCGCTGAATTAAATATGAACATGGATTGACACGAAAATGTAGCAGTTACACCATAAGTGCATATTATTAAAGTCTACTGTGTTTCACAGTAAACGCATATGGCTTTTTGGCTAGGTTTAAAGGGAAAGAGCACTTTTAGATAAACAAGGCAATAATAGATGCCACTCGTGGAGGTAGAAAAACAAAGTTTTTTTCAAAAATGAAATTCAGGCCCTAAATAAATGTCTAAAAATCCTGATTGGAGTATCACTATATATAGTTATAAATGATAAAAAGAAAGCTGTAAAAGATCGGTATCGGTGATCGGTATCGGCAGATACGGCTTTCTGTGATCGGCCTCAAAAATCCTGATCGGAGCACCCCTAGTGTAAATATTGCATCAAAATCAAATCAATTTGAGCGTGATTTAAACCCGGATGATTGTAAGCACTCTAAGTTCGTCTGCCTTGGGAAAGCTAGCGTGTCTCCGACATAGTGATAACACTCGCTGCCT